AAAGAGTCTGGGATTTCCTGGTATTTGTAACCAGGGCTTTGGTTCAGACTCATGTTGGCGGTGACCTACAAGCTTGGGAGTGCTCTGCTCAGTCCCCTGGTGACCCAACCAAGAACTTCCATCACCTTCACCATGGCTGGGAAACCCTCTTGTGAAATCAGGACAAAAACGAGGTCGGGTTAGACGGTGGGTAGAGATGACTGATCCCTGAGGACATCCCCTAAGGTTCCCACCCCAACTTGGTGGCGTCCTGAGTCAACCTTCTCCCAACCTGGAACCCAGCCCTGACCTTTGAGGGTTCATTCAGGGATGGGACACAAAAGCAAGAAAACAAACCAAGAAAGGGTCCCTGGCAAGCATGTTGTTGCAGACCTACAAAGCCTCAAGAGCGGGCACCAGTACAGCAAACGCCAAGGCTGGCCCAAGAGGGAAGTCCAAGCTTGAAAAAGAAGAGGATGATCAATATATACATGTGAAGGAAGCCCAGCTCCCCGATGCTCTCTGCACCGAAGGATGGCAAAGAAAGAACCAAAGTGAAACTGCTGAGTTCATGGAGTCCACCAAACCAGAAATTTGATTCATAAACATCCTATTAGTCACTGCTACTGTCTAATTACGGTGATTAATCAATTACCACAGCTAAAAATGACTCGAGAAGAACCTTTTTTTTGTGCCCATTTTCTTTAAAAGCCAAGCAAGGCTGCAGCTACAAGAGGGTAAAAAAAAAAACATGCAGGCACACACCAAAAATGCCTGTCTGCCTGTCTCCAGCGGTTAGAGAGGAGCCAGCTGACTCCAGTTTCCTCCGTACCAGGCTTCGGGCCTCATCAGCCATGCAAATTATAGAGTACCGTGCTGTCTGAAGGCCGAATTTCGACTCAGCTCAGAGAAAAGCCTTAGAGGAAGGGTGGGGATGAAGAAGCCAGCCAAATCCATTCATAATATTTACAGTAAATGGGCCTCTTTGCTGTTGTTTAGTATACAGTCAGTCTAATTATTTTTGAAGTTTTAATTTAAAGAACCTTCTTTATCTGCCTCTCCTCCTGCACCCCTCAAAGGTGTGGGAAAACTTTTCCCTTGTTTCAAAAAAGCGGTAGGACGGGAATCCCTTCCCCAAGCTCCAACCCGCGCTTGGGTGGGACGAAGGGATGCTTCAAGAGGGGAGACCCTTCCAGAGGGGTGCTGCCAACATCCACGGCGTTTTTAAGACCCCCGGGCCAGCCGGATAGGCACATGCAGGTCCATGCAGAAAACCCCCAGAAATACTATTTTTGCTGCGTGTGTCCCCGCTGCAGTTCTCCTGTGCTGGTGGGGAAGTCCTGGGAGGACTTGCTGGCTCGGGAGGTGTGGCAGGATGCTCCGCAGCCCCGTGCACCCTCCGACCTCCTCCCCTGCTTTGATAGCAACCCGGAATAATTGCATTTTAATGACGATCAGCCAAGAGGCTCCCCTGGAAAACACCAGGAAGCCCAAGCCAGTGTTCATGAGATGCTGCCGTGAGACCACCAAGTGACTCGGGGCCGGTACCAGCCCCAGCTCCCGGAGACGAGCAAACACCTCCGTGCTTCGTTCTCAGCAGCTACCAAGACACACCTCTTCTCCACCCATCCCCAACCCAGATCGCAACCAGAAACCTTCTGAGAAGGAGAAACCAGCTAACAAAGGGCTCCTGACTTACAGCAACGCAAATCAGACCTGAGGATGAGCTTGCCAAAATATCTCCCCAGGCTTGGGTTGTGCTGGAGGCTCCCGTGACAGCATCCCGCCCATCTCCTTTCCAGCGCGGGGAGGAATCACCGACGCGGATGCCGAAGCCGTCGGAGGCCATCGGGGCCACGCCAGCCCCGGGGTCGCAGCCCCCCTCAACGCAAGCCACCGAGCTCGGTTTTAGAGGATGAAGACCTTAAAACACTTTTGCAATTAAAAATAAAGCACCACTGTTGCAAGGGGGGAAGTTTCGCCTGGTACCCGGCGATGCCCCGGGAAGGGCAGGGATATGGCCCCCAGGAAAGCCACAGCTCTCCACTGACAACATGTAGCTATGTGGGTTACACGTTAAAAACCTTGTAAAGACCTTAATAAAAACTGAAGCAGAGCAGTCTAGGATTTCCAAACGGGTAAGTAATACCCAGATGTGTGTGTTAGG